ATACCGTAGGGCTAGAGGGGAGGAGCAAGAGGAGGGTACTGGGGCTACTTCCTTGTTGCCGGGTAGATTTGCAGCAGGCCCGGATATGTCCGTAAAAGGCACTCAAGAGTTCTAGCGGGGGGGCAAGGCCCCCCACACTGATATAATTAAATTATTTGACCATCCAAGAAAAGAACAACTGTTTATGTAGTTGAATTTTTCTTATGTCCTTTCAATAAAATAAAAAATTATTCATGTAGCTTTAGTAAAAATCTTGTTATGTTTAAATACCCTCTTTTCTGTTAAAGTTCTGAAGTGGCACCCAGCAGTTAGAAGAAAAAGTACAACTATCCAGCATTCAGGCCTAAGACTCTGGCTGCAGCTTCCCCTGAGGTTGCGCACCTCCCTCCCTTTCTACAGGCTGCTGTAACTCAAAGAGGGAAGTGGGCTGGGGGAGGGAGGGGGACACCTGAGAGTAGGACAGGGAAGCAGCTACTTATCCAGCTGGAAGAGCAGAGATTTGGCCCTTGCATTGCCAGAGCCATCTCCCCCTCCCCCTAAAACTGCAAAATTGAATTTTTAATGAGAAAGCCCCCCAATTTGAAATTGTTGACTGACTATAAGTCAATATTTCTGAAAAAGTCTGAATAGTTGAAAATCACATTGATGGGCTGGATCTAGGATACAGGCCACAGTTGGTGACTTCAGTCTTCGGTTAGCAGGTTTACTTTATTTTTAATTTTAGTTCATGAGTACATGTTTGCTGTACATGCAGTTTACAATCATCTCGGGGACTGGGCACATGTACAAATCACAGCTTGTTTCCTTTTTAAATCCCCTTTCCTCTCCCCCTCCTCTAATTCCTCTATGCTGATTTTCATTCTTGTTGATATTGTTAATTTTAGGTCATGTTATGGCATGTAATGTTTACATTCATTGAGGTTATCAGGTTCCAGTACCTGCAATATCTTTATTCTACTTATTTCCCCTTCCCTGCCTCATCATCCCTCACCCTTGTTCCTTTTGACCTTATTGTAGGAGATTTATCCCCTTGTCCCCTTCTATTCATCCTTTATTATTTGCTTTTTTATGCTTTGCCTCACTCAAATGAGAGATATCATACAGTATTTAAGCTTGTGTGCCTGGCTTTTCATTCAACGTTACATTTTCCAGGTGCATCTATTTTCCTAAAATGTCTCAAATTTGTCATTCTTTATAGCCCAGTAGTATTCCGTTATAGATAGATACATTTTCTTTACCCAATCATCTGTTGATGGGTATACAGGCTGTTTCCAGCATTTAGCTATTATAAATTGTGCTGCTATAAACATTGGTAAGCATGTATCACTCTAGTATGATATCTTAAACTCTTTGGGGAAGATACAGGGTCATATGGAAATTCTAATTTCAGTTCTTTAAGAAATCTCCATACTGATTTCCATAGTGGTTGTACTAGTTTACATTCCCACCAACAACCAAGGAGGGTTCCTTTTTTTACCACAGGCACAGCAGCATTTGTTTTAAAAATTTCTTAATGAGTGCCATTCTTTCTGGAATAAGATGGTATCATAGCATTGTTTTAATTTGCATTTCTCTAGTGACCAGAGATGTTGAACATTTTTTCATATATTTGTTGAGTATTTAATTTCTTCTGTGAAGTGTCTGTTCATTACTCTTGCCCATTTCTTGACTGGGTCTTTAAGGTGGTTTAATTTTTTTAGTTCTTTATGCATTCTAGATACTAGTCCTCTGTCTCAGGAGTAGCTGGCAAATTTTTTTCCCCATTCAGTAAGTTGTCTCTTCATTCTGCTGATTTTGCCTTATAGAAGCTTTTTAGTCTGATATAATCTCATTTGTTGATTCTTGCTATTATTTCTTGTGCAGTAGAGGCTCTGTTTAGAAAATCTTTTCCTACACCTATGTCTTTAAGTGTTTTTTCCTCTAGTAGGTTTAATGTTTAGTTATTTGATCCAATTTTTATCTTAATTTAGTATATGGTGAAAGATAACAGTTCAGTTTCAATCTTCTACAAACAGATAACCAGTTTTACCAGCACCACTTGTTGAATAGGCTGTCTTTCCTTCAACATTTGCTTCCTGTCTCTTTGTCAAAGATCTTACAGTTGATTGTGTCTGGGATGTGTATCCTATATTCTGTTCCATTGCTCTACATATCTGTTTTTCTTCTACTACCATGCTTTTTTTATTCCTATTGCTTTGCAGCATAGCTTGAATTCAGGTATTGCAAGGCTTCCTCTTTTGCTTTTGTTGTCCAAAATTGCTTTTGCTATTCTGGGTCTCTTCCGGCTCCATATGAATTTTAAGACTGTTTTTTTTCTAGATCTGAAAAGTATGCTGTTTCAAATCTATGTAAGAGTTTTGGAAGTATGGTCATTTTGACAATATTGGTTTTGCGTATCCAGGAGCAGGGGACATCTTTCCATTTTCTGATGTCCCCTTCAATCTCCTTTTTTAGAGTACTGCAGTTTTCTTTGTAGAGGTCTTTCACTTCCTTGATTAGGTTAATTCCTAGGTATTTCATTGTTCTTGATAGTACTGTGAGTGTTTTCATAATTTCCTTCTCATGGAGCTCATTATTGGTATACATAAATGCAATGATTTCTGTGTGTTGATCTTGTAACACTTAGCAGGGCTAGTTTAGATTTTCCTGCCTCTGCCGTTTTCCAGTGCTTATGCCTAGTGAGGTCATTCTTACCTGAAAGTGGGACACGTTATAGTCTAAAGAAATGTTAAAATAAATCCAATATGGGCTTGCAAAACTCCCACTGGTGTGTGTGTGTGTGTGTGTGTGTGTGTGTGTGTGTGTAATTACTGATTTGGAGGGTTTTCATGATTTATGCGAAAAGGTCAGTAGATGGATATAAAATTATTTATTGATTTTACCTATTTGTGCCTCAGGGAGCACAGCAAGGCTCTATCATGAAGAGCTTTGCTGAGCTGGAATTTATCAACAGAAATTTCTCTCTCTCTATAATATTATATATATTGTATCTCATAGGTCAAATTTGTCAACATGTCCACGATCCCGAAGCACTTCGGACTGAAAACCAGCGAAGAGTCCTACATGTTTAAAGAGCTTGAGAAGGTTCGCCAGCAGACGAAAAGGGATTTCCTTCGATTCAAGCAGAAGTTGGCTTGCAGGCCGAATTTAGATGAAGACTCAGACTACTCTCCCCACACCTCAGGCCCGGTCTGCCCTAGGGAGAAGAGACACGTGTTGTTCACTGCACCTCAAGGGCTCGCAGGGTCCCCTCCAGCTGAGGGCCCCGAGACATCCTCCGCCACACGCCTGCAGGGGGCGCTCCAAGGCGCCGCGCAGCCCCCGGCCACCGCCGGGAGGACCCAGTCGTTCTGCCCCCGGGACTTTTACTTGCGAAGCTCCGCGTTCCTAAGGCACCAGCCCCAGAAGAAGCCACCTGCCATCGCCTCCTAGGCTGGCACGTCTAGACCCCTGGTGCTGCTGCCGCCGTCCACGGCGTTGAAGCAGAGAGCGCGCCGGGGCCTGGGGAACCCTCGGCCCGCAGCTACCGGGCGGGTTACGGACGGGGCCCGCGGGGGGAGGGCGAGCCAGGGGGGAGCTCTGGTTCCCGAGGGCCACAAGGCCAAAGACAGGAAGGCCAGCTCAATCTCCAGCGAGGGCAGCGATGCAGAGGCGGGCCGGTGGCGGAGAGTGAGGATTCGCACGGGCTTCACGCCCCAGAGCTCAGGCGGCGCGGCGCAGCCATGGACTGGGGCCCTTTCCAGAGCCGCGCGCCACAGCAGCGCGCCCAGCGACACGCGGGAAGTCTCCCGGCTGGCGGCGCTGCGCACGCGCGCGGTCCCCAGGTCCATCCAGGAGATCATCGCCTCGCTGCAGCCTGAGGCCCAGCTGGCCTCCGACCAGACCATCAGAGAGCTCACAGAAAGCGTAGTGGGCCAGAACTACGACATAAGAATGGAAGTAGGTGAACCGGACGAGAGTAATGCTTCTTGTGGGTAAATGTGTGTGTGTGTGTGTGTGTGTGTGTGTGTGTGTGTGTAATTTCATCTATATGTAATTTTTTTCAGTGAATATGATGTGCTGTACAGAAAACTCCGTTGTGTTATTGAATTTATTTATGTTTTATTTGAATTTTCAGTTTCTTTTAGGGAGAATGTTTCTTCTTTTCAAAGTGAAAGACTTTGAGATTATTCCAAAAACAGGTTCAAAGAGCATTAGCTGAAGACCCCACTAACGTTTCCTTTTAAAGACTGTGGTCATTTAATATAGAAATAACAAAACAGGGGCTGGGGATTTAGCTCAGTGGTTTCGCCGTCTGCTGCGCAAGCACAAGGACCCGAGTTCGATTCCCGGTTTAAAACAAAACAACAGGGATTTTATTTATTTATTTATCTATTTTAACGTTTCAATAACATTTAATTTATTTTATCATCAAAAGTGTCATATTTTCCTTACTCTTAGAGTTTTAATTTTAATATAAAATAAACACATGCCTTGTAAAAGTTATATTTATAGGTAAATATTTCTTCAGTCATTACTATCACTACCTGAATTACTTGTCTGTAAATAATTTCTTAAAGTATTCATCAGAAGGCCACTGTTGTCATGAAATCTGTTATGACCAGCATCTATATCAGAAGTCCTGGGGCTGGGGATTTAGCTCAGTGGTTCCAGCGCCTGCCTCGCAAGCACAAGGTCCCGAGTTCGATCCTAGGTACCAAAAAAAAAAAAGAAGTCCTGTGCTGTGGTATGGCAGACATGGTGGGATGTCCTGAGATACAATTATCCAGACTAGAAGAAGATGTGCTCTCTTTCTCCTCGGATGCACTAGAACTATCCTCACTACTTGATGATGATGAACTTGAGTCTGATGAACTATCACAACTACTCACCTGGTCCATTAGACTAGCTTCTACCTTTAGTTTTCTTTCAATATCATCCATTAGCCATGTTAGGATATCTTGTCTACAGATGGAGAATGCTTTATAAGATTGGGAGTCCTAGTTGAATTTCACATTTGTTGTTGCTGTTGTTCTACTTGATGGTGAATTTTACTGCTTCCTTCAACTCTTGTTTTTTGTTTTTACAGTGATGTTGCTGCTTAGTTTTTCTAGTGGACATTCTGCAGTATCATGGATAATAATAAAAATGCATTCTTTTAAGTAAGGTTTCTTTGAACCTTTGAGAAGAGTTACTGCTGTAGTTAAACCTCCTATATTTGGCAGAGTTATTGTCACCTGTTCACCTTTGCCAACCTCAAGGTGTCCTTCACAGGAAGTGTCAATAAAAGCAGGTTTAAAGTCATAGCGTACAGTATAGAAGGCATAGTGCAGCTGCTTCTTGAAACTCGCCTAACTTGAGAACTGGCCCAAGTGCACAAGTCTTACTGGTCAATTCATCAATCTCCTCCCACTCGGCCTTTGCCTTCGCTTCCACCTGCCACCTCAGCCCCAAGCAGCTGTATAATGGGGATTTTATATGAAAAACCCACTTTCCCCCCTCATTTGGCCTTATTAGTGAATTATGGTAAAAGTGAATTTATATCCTGAGATCAGTGTTATTACTATTAAGAAATTCAATTTGTAAGAATTCTATAATATTTTCACTGAAAATAGTTCTCTTGAAGCATTTCAAAAATATATTTTCTGGGCCTTTTCTACTTCGACTTAGAAGTGCTTCTTGTGTGCAAAACACTGTAGGGTAGACTTTATGTGCATTTTTATCCCAACAAGAACCACATCAGGTAGAAAAATATCAATAAAAGTCTTGTTTTATGTAGGAGGCCTTCTAGCTCTAGAAAGGCTAAAGAATTGGCACAGTGTCCTATAGCTAATGCATGGCAGAGCTAGGATTCCACCCAGGCAGACTTACCCCAAGACACTAGCTTGGAATTATGCCCAAGAAAGTCTATTTGTTGGCTACGAAATGGCCCCTACAGGAAGCAAAGCTAGGTAGGGTCATATTTAAGTGTAAGATATTTTGTCCATTACATAGACTTTACTTTGATGGGGACATTGAAAGAAAAAAGGGAGCATGACAGAAAGAGGAAGAGGTAGGGGGATGAAAGGGGGAGAGACTTTGAGAATAACAATGAAAATGACAGTAAGAGGGAAGAAGATTCTATTACTGTTCTTGGCTATGGCTCAGGATCTCCTGTTAGTACACAGAATACCACTGCTGACATTATGTCTTTAAAATAGTTTCAGCCCCACAACACATGCTTGGCTGTGATTTAAGGAATGCTATCATGAAGAGAAACAAAAATACATATGAGCCAGAGAGTCTCCAGCATTGTCTTTGACTATGTTTGTGAGCAGAGTATTACAAATATTCTGAATTAAGATTCACATCTCCCCTTAGTTACTGAAGAAAATAAAATCTGACTGTCTTGACCATTTCAAACTGAGTATTTCTAGTTAGATTTCTGCAAATCTGATTGAAAAAGGAGCCAGGGATCCATTAAAAGAGCCTATTAGAAGGAGCCTTAGCAAAAAGAAGGCCTTAGTCAATCCCCTATGAATGGGCCTAACACCTTATGGTATGGTTGAGGTACTTGATATGAACAGGGCCTGGTATTAGAGACTAGCTCAGAAGTACTGTAGTATGTCAGGGCAGGGGCCCATAAGAAAAAATATCATGACTCAAGTGGAACTAGAAGCATATGAAGAAAGAGTATCAACTGAATAATGACTACTGGAACAGTGAATTCTGTTCTTCTACCAGAAATATTCATTTTTCCTTTGTCTGCTTTTTTTGGTGTTTCAGTTAACCTGATTTAAAAAGGGTTAGTATCAGTGAAGAGTCTAGACTTTCAACACTGCCCAGCAGGAAGCCACTGTGGAAATCAGTATGGAGATACCTTAAAGAACTAGGATTAGAGGTTCCATTTGACCCAACTATTCCTCTGCTGGGTATCTTCCTAAAAAGAATTAAAAGAATCATACCACAGCGATATATGTGTGCCCATGTTCATAGCAGCACAGTTTGTAATAGCCAAAACTTGGAAACAACCCAGTTGCCTATCAACTGGAGACTGGATGAAGAAAAAAATTTTTTTTTAATCAAATGGAGTACTACTCAGCCATAATGAGAAATTAGAGGCATTTATAGTTAAATGGATGCACATTGAGGCCATACTCTTAAGTGAAATAAATAGGAAACGTGTAAATACTGAATAGTTTCTCTGGTGTGAGAAACTGAAAGTGTAAATAAGGATCAAAATGTATAGTAGATAATGTGAAATAGGAAGAAAAGGTGCAAAGGAGAAGGGGAAGTGGGAGGGGTAGGGGAAAGGAAAGAAGGGAATGGAATTTATATGAGAAAAAAAAAATGGAAACAAAGTCTTTATAAATAGAGAGGGGTAGAGGGATTGAAGGGAGGGCAGGGGAGTAGGGAAAATTAAGAATCAAGATATAGTATGTAAAGGTACAAAACTCCAATGATGAATGTCATTATATTGTATACCTAAAATGTAGCAATAAAATTAATTTTTAAAAAGACCATTCTTCCCACACTCCTTGTGCTGTCAGTGTCACTGCAGACCATGTAGAAAACAGTAATGAGATACTCCTATTCCTTCCAACCATCATAGTGTCAACTGAAGACTGCTGGTGAACCAGAACTTGTATTCCCACTCAGAAGTAATCAGGCAGCCCCAACTGATGGTGCCAGTAGGGTATATGGAACTTGGACCTCCCCTATCTGACAGTAATGCAACCCCCCCATTCCCTTGTTAGAATATCAGAGAAAGCCAGCTTAAGATCTAGACTTGTATAATACCCAAAATGTCCAAGTTTCAGTAGAAAAATCACTTACCATGCCAAGAACCAAGAACATCTCAATTTGAAATAAGAAAAGACAATCAGGCTGGAGCACTTGCCTATTATGCACGAGGTCCTAGATTCAATCCTCAGTACAACAAAAAGAAAAAAAATTCAGTAAACAGATACTAAAATTATTGGACAAAGATCTTAAACATCCCTCAGAATGCTTCAGCAAGCAATTATGAACACTTTGAAGCAAATAAAAAAGTATAAAATATGAACAAAGAATAGAAAGTCTCAGAAGAACCGAAGAAAAGAATTCAAGCTGAAAAATACAGTAACTGAAATAAAAACTAGATGGATTCCAAAATGGAATGGGAAAACTAGAGTATAATCAATGAACTTGAAGATAGAACAACATAGCTTATCTTAGGTGAAAAACAGACACTAGATGAGAAAAAATTAGTCTCCCTAGGACCCATGAATTATAACAAAAGAAAGAAGAAAAGGAAGACAAGACTGAAAAAGTACTGAAAGAAAAATAAACAAACTAAAAGCTTCTCAAATTTGGCACGAGACATAAAACTACTCATTTAAAAAGCTGAGTGAATCTCAAACCCAAGAAATTCATACCCAAACACATAATGTTACACTTTTGAAAATTGAAGTTAAAAAAATCTTGAAAACAGTGAGATAAAAATCAGTGTTACCTACAGTGAAAAAGTTTGCATAACAAAGGATTTCTCATCAGAAACCATGCGGGTCAGAAGTAATTGACAGCATTTTTCAGGTGCTGAAAGAATTGAGCTATCCACTCAGAATTCTATGTTCAAAGTTACCCCTCAGGAATTAAGGGGAAATCAAGACATTCTCAGATAAAGAAAAATGAAAAGAATTTGTCACTTGAAGTTCTACCCTAGGTTCAATCCCCTACTGCAAAACAAAGCTCAAATGAAACAGTATAGATAAATTAGTATTTTAAAAAAATATTAAGTAACAGGAAGGTAGGTAAAAGTAAATAGAGGAACAAAAAAGAAAACAAACAAAATAGACTCAAATCCAACATATCAGTAAGTGCATTAATTATAAATAGTCTACATAATCAAATGACAGAGATTAGACAGATGGATTAAAAATATGATAAGAAGGTAGGTAAAAGCAATAGAGAAAAAAAAGCAGAAAATAAAGTAGGCTTAA